ATATAAAGCCTCATATGGTGCATTCTCAATGATAAATTAGTAATTGTTATTATATGCAAATTCCAACAAAGGAAAAAACTAATCCCAATGACACCAAACATAAATCACACATGCTCCCAACATGTCCTAAAGGATCTAAATTTTCCGTACGGATTGACCAACATGCTACAATGTAAAAGGTGGCTAAGCTCAACATGCGTTCCCAAATGACGTTGTACCACTTTACAAAAGTGAAACGTGAACAGTGATCATGATCTGATATGATTGAAATAGGTATCTCATGCAATCGAATTATCTTACAAATATGAATCTGTGCCAACATCTCCAAAGAGTAAGTAGTCGAGACTAGTATAAAATACACGGAATTTAGTCAACCTATCAATAATAACCCAAATTGAATCGAACTTCCTTGTAGTATGTGGCAAGCCTACCATAAATTCCATAGTGACGTGCTCCCAATTTTTCTCCCCTATAACTATCTTTTGAGTCAAATCATTCGATTTTATGCTCATACTTGACATGGTTGCAATTCAAACACCGTAAAACATTTCCAATAATATCTTTCTTCATCATATGTCATCAATAGTATTATTTCAAGTGACGATACATCTCTGTAACCCCTCCTCAATGAGTAGAATATCGCGAATTGTGAGGCTCCTAGTGTATCAACTCCCTTAAGCCATAAGCATTTCACGCACAAAGTGGACCCTGAAGTCGCACAACACCATCATCACCTATGACAACCTTCTTGGCACCGCTTCACTACACCATATGCTTAAGTACAAGTAAATAGAGATCATCATAATGGCGAGACTTAATCCACTCATACAAGGATGGGTGTGTTGTGTCCAACTACACAAACAAGAACCTTACTAGGATCAGAAATATCCAATCATACACACCTATTAGCCAAATCTTGAACATCTATCACCATTGAATGCTCCTCAACTGGAATGTATGTGAAACTACTCATACTCTCCACCTTTCCGCTCAAGCAATCTACCACCACATTAGATTTTCTCAAATGATACAAGACAGTTATATCATAGCACTTAAGCAACTCAAACCATTTTGCCTCAATTTGAATCCTTTCGCTAATAGGTGTTGAAGACTACGACGATTAGTGTAAATCTCACAAGACATACCATACAAGTAATGCTTCTAAATCTTTAGTGCAAAAACAATTGCCTTTAACTTCAAGTCATGGGTCGGGTAATTCTTCTCATGATTCTCCAAAACGTATTAAGACATTTTGATATTTTGACGGTGCTACAAAATTGCTAACACATGGTGTAAATTGCTAAATTAGGAAACTATAATATTTTTAATCCCCTCAAAATTATTACTATAACAATTCATATTAATTCAGTAAACAAATGTTGGTGTGCAAAGCTGTGGATTAATGTCACCTACTCAGTATAGAGATTCGTTCTCTGCTATCGCGACAGAAATAAAATATCGCTGGATCTAGAGTGCCTCCAAATTTCAAATGATTTAATATCAGATAATTCTTTCATGAACAGCTATATTTCGTTTAATTTTATATATGTCGTACATAATGTAAAACTTTTGAAGCATTATATATTTTATTTTGATCCAAAATCTGGTACACTTTAACAGCTATACTTTGTTTGTTTCTATAATGTTGTATGTACGAAGTTGTATAAAATAGTATTAACCCATTAATTGCACTTCTGGATAATAATGCTTATTTTTAATGGTCACACTTGATAAATAATTTTCAACGAAAAGGAAGTTGAACGCAATAGAGATAGGTTTAAATCATTACTGTAGCTTATAATTCACGTTTTCCTTCTTCTCAGTTTCTTTTTTACTTTTTAACATCTTTTAGATTTTTTGCTAACTCAATTTATATTATGCTAAATTACTTTACCTTTCAGATATTAAAGCATGGACTTTTATTTTGGGAAAGAAGAAAGTAAGAGCAAGTAAAGTTTTCAAAAAAGTTTCAACGAAGGTTACAAAGCCATTTACCCTAACTTAAGTGAAATCTGTGAATGACTGCATGTTCTTCTACATGAAAATGTGTGCATTAATCAGCTTACTGTGTGATCTGAAATATAATTTTCTTTTTACGTTCACTAGGTGATTGAACCTAAATTCTTTCGGAAACTCAAAGTTTAATGCAATTATTCTTTCCAATTTTGTCTTGTCGATTATGTTACCTTTAAACCACAAAATAAAGTAAACAAAGTTAACACTAGATTTGGTTTGACGCTGTGATAATACTGTTTACAACAACAAAAATTCACTCGAATCCCACAAATGGGATCTAGGGAGGGTAGTGTACGGAGACCTTACCCTACCCTAAAGGAGTAGAGATGTTGTTTCCGATAAACTCTCGGCTCAAGAAGATAAGAAGAGACAATGGCGCAGTAATATCAGAGGAAGCAAGAAAGAAAGATAACATCAGTAACGTAATTGTTGAAGTTTGGCAAATTCTTTGTCCCACATCGGTGGGCTCTTGAGTTTGAGGGGGATTTTCCCCCTATAAAAGAAGGCATAATGTTTAGGATTTAAACACACCTCTCATTTGCCTTCTCATCTGTTTAAGGCATTTGTATCTTCTCTCTTTAGTATTATTTCACTTGTATTTTTGGAGTGGAATAAAATATTGGTTGTGTCCGAGGAGTAGGCAAAATTAGCCGAACCTCGTAAATTCTGGTGTTCCCTTTATTGTTG